CACACACACACACACACACACACACACACACACACACACACACACACGGAATGTCTTTGATTGATTAAACTAAGTGTGCGGGTATTTTCCGCACTTCTGGTTCATTGTTTAAATTAATAAATGTTCTTACTTAACAAAGGTAATTACTTTTAAGTGAGGTAATCAATGAATTCCTTCCTCCCCTTACAATAGGATCAGGGATTTAGAACTAGAAGGAAATTTAACAATCATCTAGTACCACCCCACCTCCATTCCTTCCCCCTCCCCCTATTTTAAAGATGAGGAAACTGAGGCTCAGAGAGATTAAGTGACTTTTCTGAGATTATGGGGATAGTAAGTGTTGGAGAGGGGATTTGAACCCAAACCATTCGATGCACCATACTGAGTGTATTTGGCATAGTTATTGATTTTTTTGTAAAATGAAGACATCTGTGAGACAAGTCTGCAGCCTAGAAGCATGAGAAACATTTTATTTGACTGAAGACATTTTACATATCTTTTGACTCTTCCACTTGAAAGGTTTAAAGTCAACAACTTGTGGTCTGTAACAGATAGGAATCCTACTTATTAGTTCTGGCCTGATTAAATCTTTTCAGTCACGTCGTGATCAAGCATTTTTCAAACTCTTTGGATTGTCAAATCAGTTTTTTCCACCATTGAGGTTACAATAATATGACCATACATTGGTATAGAGCATCCTATTTTACAAAGAGCTTTCTCATGTGCCATCTCATTTGATAATAAGAGGAAGCTTACTGTACTATAAATAATTCTGGACCTGAACTCCCAGGACCTAGGTTCAAATTGTTCCTCAAGGTGTGAACAAATAACAGAAACCTTCTACATTTAATCCTTTTTATTTGACTGTCGGTTTTTTGAAGGCATATCCCTAGCATTAAGCACAGTGCCTATTAAGCACTTAATAGGTACTTCATAGGGCATGTGGAATGGTTCAGTGCATAGAGCACCAGGCCTGGAGTCAGGAAATCCTGAGTTCAAATCCAGTTTCAGAGGAAGGAAATGCAAATCACTCCAGTATCTTTCCCCCAAAATCCCAAATGGGATCACTGAGAGTCAAACATGACTGGAAATGACTGAACAACAACACATAGTATTTAAAAAATGCTTATTGATTGATTGAAAATAAGTAAATGTTCTTAACTTTACAGTGAATTATGCTTCCTATCTTAAAGCACTTTATTATCATAGATAACTTAATAGAAATGCCAAGCTATTACCTGATACTAACAACAACAATAATAATATAAATAATGGATAACATAATAACAATAACAACAACAATAATAATATTCAGAATGGATATTTATACAGTCCTTTAAAATGTCTAAGCTGATTTATATGCATTATTTTATTTGAGTCTCACAATTACCTAATGAGATGGTCAGTGTTAAATATTATTATCTGTCCATTCTATAAATGACTCAGAAAGGTCTGAGGTAACATTGCAAAGCAGTGGCAAAACTGGCGCCCAACTCTAGGTTTGAGACATTTATAGCGCCACACTATTGCCTCTGTGTAAATTTGAGAAGTCTAGATCTGAATGCTTGTCCAGGGAGTGGTTCCTTTTAGTTTTCATTTGAAGGCACCTAATATATAACACCCAGGATCGAGTTATTCTGTGTTAAAAAAAAAAAATCCTTCCTCCTTATTGGCTGCCATATTACTAGTCTTGTGGGAAGTGGACGCTATATGAGCTCCGTTGCCTTGGAAGTGTATTCTATTCCATGTCT